TTGACTAGAAACATGAAATATTGAATCAGTTAGAGTAAGTGTTCAAAATGTCCTTCTTTTCGAGGAATACACGATTCTATATTCTTTTTTTAAGAATGTATTATTCTTCTGAACAGGTGAGGATCAGCTGTTAGGTCATTCAAGTGATGTTCAATTATGTCTCACAACTCTTGACGTGAATTTACCTATGTAGCATAGACTTTCTGCTCAAGATACAACAAAACTATGACAATGTAATCCATGGTTCTTAGTCAAATCTGTTTCGATGTTATTCTTGTGATTCATTGTTAAATCAATGAGTATTGCATCAGAAATGTATTGTTGTTTCCGGTTTTCAATGAATAGGTGATAATTTTTCATAATACTCACTCTAATACATAGCTTTATACCAGCAACAGTTACCACTTCATCATTTTCAAATCGAAATATTCCGAAAACGGAGTACAGTATCGAGTTTTACCAAGTGTACCTTTTTATTGTGAAATTGAATGATGTTTGAGTTCACATCAAATTTGGGTTAGAGAATCTAACCTCAAAAAATTTATGTTTAAAACTAATCGGTAAGAACCGTGTAACTAGTGCCCTCTATGAGAGTCAGATATAAAAACAAATGCATGCGATGTGTCAGATTCCCAGAAACATCCATACAAAATTTCATCACAATTATGTTGCCAACTAAAGATTGATGTTCGGTGACTGTAGGCACCGAAATAAAAAACTGCTGGGTTTTTGCATTTTGTATTCTCGATAAGGTCGAGAATCCATTATCTACATTGTTAATAAGGTCGAGAATCCGTCAACTGCATATCCATCTTCCATCAGTAAAAAGCCTCACGTTTGGGCGACATATATATATATATCTCTCTTTATTTAGTTGAAAAACTAATTCATTCACAATAGTAAATACATTCACATATAAATAAACTTAGATTAACATGAAAAAATACAATCAGTCTGAATAAAAAATACATACGTGTAAATAAAAACTACTAAAAAAATAATAATTATATACTAATTTTTCATTAAATAATCCTTCAATCGTCTTTTGAATGTATTTATCGAACCACTCTCTTTAATTTCTTGTGGGAGGTCATTAAAACAATCTACTCCTTTATAAAATAAGGAATTATGTGTACTATTTTTTTTATATTTTTCAACTTTTATATTGTTTCTGTTTCTTGTATTATACTCATGTATTTCAGCCACATATGATAATTTATTCTGTAGATATACAGGTGAATATGCAATTTTGATTTTAAAAATGAAAATTAGTGTTTGATACTCGAAGAGTTTTCTCACTGGTAGCCATTGTAGGGTTTGCAACATATTTGCTATCGGTGTTATCCTTGAACATTGTAAGATTATTCGCATAGCACGATTCTGCATCTTTTGTAGTCTGTTTATTTCATTCTGGTTGAGAAAAAACAGAATGGTGGAGCAGTAATTTAAATGTGGAAGGATTATGGAGTTGTATACTAATAGTTTAGACCACTGGCTTAGATATGGGGAACATCTTCTTAAATAATTGACTTTGTAAGCTACTGTTTTGATGACCTGATTAGCATGTTCCTTGAATTTCAATTCATTGTCAATGGTAACACCCAAGTACACGAATTTGTTCACCTTTTCTATATCACTGTAATTCAATCTTAGAAGTAGATTTTCATTATTATGATCTTTATGTTTTCCTAATAACATCCATTTTGTTTTATTCACGTTCACCTTCAGCAGATTTGCACAGCAATATTTATCATTATTTTGTAGTTACGCATCAACTTATCAACTAGCTCATTATTAGTAAATTAACGATCCATTCGTTTTTTTTTTAACGAGTAACATTTCAAAAAATACTAAACAGCATTGAATCTTCCTTTTCTCATTCACTACCACGTTTCAACTTTTCTGACTAGCGACTAGCGAGTTTCGCCCCTCTAGAAAATAATAATACGGTTGCTATACCGCAATTAATAACCGGTACCATCGTCCTGCCGGTACCATTAGAGAACCATAAGCGTAGGTACCCAATTTAGTCATTTTATTCAGAATACTACTCGGAATACTATTATTCCTACAACAGTTTCTTGATCCTCCCTTGCTATACACTGGAGGGGAGTTGTTATCACTCTCAAAAAAATCTAGTTTTCAATCTGAAGACATTATTGACCTTGAGCCCAAAAAAGTTCGCCTGCGGCGCGTTTCATCCGTATTAACGTTTTTTAAAGTTTCTTGACCCCCTCTAGTATCCACTGAAATGACGCCCCTGCGTTGCAGAACAAGAAGTTAGGGTCCTTTTTGGAAAGTAAAGATAGAGTTAATTATACTAAAATGTTCCTATTATGATCTTCTATTTATTATGGGTAAACAATTAAACAATGTAATATGGCATGAATGATAGGTATATTACAAAAATATAAATGAGCGAGAAATTGTCGGTAATTCAGGAAATGAGCCCAGGCATATGTGCCCAGGGCCGGATTAATGCTACTTGTCGCCCAGGCACAATATATTTTCTCTCTAATAGAAGAATGTTTGAACGCAGTGACATTTTGGGGGTACTAACCAATAAGATATTCATTGATTATTGTACTTATATTTGATGAAATAGAATATGTATTCATCCAATAGGAAATTTGCATTGGTATGTATGAGAAGGGTCAACAACAAAACCATGAAAAATCCTGCTTTACAGCCTCATCCGGTGTTCCTCAGGGGTCAAATTTTGTTCCCTTATTATTCCTGATATTTATTAATGGTTTCACTGATCATATTCATTCTAACAAGCTATTATTTGCTGACGATATGAAGATTTATAGAGATATAAAGGATGAATCAGATTCAAGAAGATTTGAATTCTGTGAGTAACTGGTGCATTCAGAATAAACTCCACTTGAATATCAAAAAATGTGAAGTTATGACTTTCACTCGTGAACTTGTCCCACTCACATTTAATTATGAACTTGATGGTAACACTCTTATGCGTATCACTGAATCGAAGGACTTTTAGGAGTTATTTTTGATTAAAAACTGACTTTCTCAAACCATATTGAACATATCATTTCTAAATCGATAAAAAATTTAGGTTTTCTTATACGCAACTGTAGAGATTTCAAGTCGTTCGATTCTTTGAAGAGCATCTACTTATCTATGGTCAGAAGCAAACTTGAGTACTGCAGTGTTGTTTGGAATCCTTCCCATTCCAAATACATTATGGCTATTGAGAACGTTCAGAAGAAATTCTTCAAATTTGCTTATTATAAAAATCATGGTATTTATCCTGTTAGAGGCTATAATTATGACCTCTTGCTACAGGAGTTTAATCTGATATCACTAAGAAAGTAGCGCGAAATGAGAGACATGTGCTTTATTTACAAAATAATACACAACCAAATAGATTGTTCAACTTTATTGTCACAAATGATGTTCAATGTACCTCGTTTCTCATCTCGCTCATGTAACACATTTTACTTTCCCGTACCTAACACTGTGCATAACTTCCACTCACCTTTATCAACAATGTCTATACAGGGTGATTCAAAAGTAAGCGGCATCCTTTCAGAGGCGTATTCCTTGCTTGAAAATAAGGCAAAAAGTTCCTATTGATAAGGATCCGAAAATGCTTCCTAAGGGAGCTACGGCCCTTTGAATAGGACACCTCAAAGACGGTTTTTTCTCTATAACTTTAAAATCCTTCACAACAAATTTTTAAAAATTGGTGTACGGCATAAACATTCGATGGTAAATAGGACTCCGTATTCGAAATTTCAGAATTTCATTCAGGGGCGTCACATGCGGGAGAGGGTAAGTGTAAAAATATCCCTTCTTCTCCGGATATTCAGGTTACTGTGATTTCGTTTGGAAATTATTTCGAATACGGAGTCCTATTTACCATCGAATGTTTATGCCGTACACCAATTTTTAAAAATTTGTTGTGAAGGATTTTAAAGTTATAGAGAAAAAACCGTCTTTGAGGTGTCCTATTCAAAGGGCCGTAGCTCCCTTAGGAAGCATTTTCGGATCCTTATCAATAGGAACTTTTTGCCTTATTTTCATGCAAGGAATACGCCTCTGAAAGGATGCCGCTTACTTTTGAATCACCCTGTATAGGAGCGTTAACGCAATACACCCAATGTAGATATTTTCTTTTTGTCATTTGCACAATTCAAACGTGATAGTCTCAGCACACTTCCTAATTGATAATTATACATTATGCTCTCATTCACTTAGTATTAATTATGCTTAGTATAGGACTACTCTTATCACCTATTATTAATTTTGTGCACCTATTATTGGGCTCTTGGGCCTGTTGGATGTATTTTTTGAAATAAATAAATAAATAAATAAATAAATAAATAAATAAATAAATAAATAAATAAATAAATAAATAAATAAATAAATAAATAAATAAATAGTGTATAATGGTTAATAACATACAGGTTGTTACGAAACAAAATAGTGAGCGACATGGAAATATACACACAAATATAGATAACAGAATACATTAAACTTGTTTTGTTTTTATTTCATTTTTTTTCGCAAAATTCTCGCTCCCTATTCTGAATTCGCCCCTGGGCAGCCTTCGTGCACTGGGGTTAATCCGGCCCTGCGTCTGCCCTTACGGTGAAGATTGACCTATGATTCCATATACGACAAGCCCAGTCAGACATCGAGATAAGTCGAAAAACTCGTTTTCAGGCCACGTTTGTCTAAGAACAGCCAGGCCTTGATATTCTCTGCCAACTGGATTCCTAGAAGAAGTACCTAACTATACCTACATATCGTTACAAAACCTCCCAGAGTTCAAGTTGAATATTACATCTTGTTATTATATAGGTGCGTAGATATATTTTTTCTTCATACCTAAGGCCATACACTTGTAAAATCATATGTAAAATCTGAACCCTCATTGCTAATAACAATGTAAGTTAAAATGTTGCTATGAGTTAGAGAAATCGGTATTCTTTTGACGTTACGCCACTGGCTGATGAACTAAAATTGATATATCTCAGTTGATAATTGAACACAATAATTAATGATAAGACAACATCTACAACAGATCTCTTTGTTACCTCACTCAGTTTTGATAGTGGTGCATTTAAATTTTTGTATTAGTTGATCTCTCATACTATCTAGTATAGGCATAATAAGAATTGCATTTCGACGAGAATCTCATGTGAAAAGTAATTAGAAGTAAGATAACTATTAGAAGTGATCCTATTTTCCAAGATTGGTAAATACAAAATGGAGAATGTGCATTTCAATGTGAATAAGTGTCAAAATCGATTAAGTGGAAGAATAGTGACATAAGTGACGTTGGGGTGAAAAATCAATAGGTGGTTTCATAACCTTTCAGTTTCTGCTGCGTTTGTAATAGTAATTTTCCGAACGAGTGCGAAAAGTGATACTTCCCCGCACGCGAATGCCTTTGACACGAACGACGCGAAGCGGAGTTCGGGTAAGCAGTCGAGTGCGGGAAAGACGCTTTACGCATGAGTTGGGAACAATATTTTCTCCACAAGCGTAGGAAATTGATTTATTTGCTCAATCAATTATTCCTGCAAATAGGATCAACTTACAAGAGTGATATACCTATTCTCTATCTTCTAATTATTAGTAATATATCTATTGTGTGTATCGTTTGGAGCATTATGTAGGTAAGCTTATTGCAGAAGCCAGCATGCCCATGGTGTTTTTGGCCTCTAGGTTTCAGACATTTCTAGGAAATGAGCCTAAAATACTTCATCTTTATTTAATACTGCAACAAACAAACTCAAACTCTCATATTCCATCACCTTCCACTTATATTTTGGCAAATTATCATATCTTGGTTTTTTCCGCACTAGTGTGGGAAAAATTTTCCCGCAATGTTGCGGGAAAATGACCTTTCCATCATGGACGTATAAAAAAGAGCGGGTATAGGGTGAATCACGCACGCTTGTATAAAAAGAAATGTTTTTTCTGTGACGGAAAGTTTGAAACTGCATCTCTATCGACAGGTTATAGAAATAAAATCTTTATTGATCCACAAAGTACCACCATTATAAGGGTGTTGGATAAGTCATATTGTTTATACTTAGTGTAAAATTGAAATGAATTGAAACAGCCTCAAATAGATACATAAAATATTAGAACAATACAATACAGTAATTTAAGTAACTACATTTAGAAAAACAGTGAGTCAAATAAAGGAGGATTAAATAAAATGTGCAATATAAATTAACTGTAAATTGACTAGTAAGAGTCTATTCCCGTCTATTCCTGTCCAAAAACTCATTTACATTGTAGACAGTGCCAGATATTGAGAATTATTTACATTTTCTCTTGAATTTCTTGTAGCAAGTTCATTATGAAGGTAATTGAATTAAATAATTTCAAAGGAATGAATTTAGGAGATCTACGTAACATTGCAGTGTTATGTCTTGGTATATCAAAGTTCTTATGGCGAGTTTGATACCTGTGGTGATTTTGACGTCCATGTTCAAATCTATGAAAGTAATAAGGCATTTCAAAATCAATATACCTGAAAATGTTAGAATCCGCATCTTTTCAAATGTAGATCTACAGCTATCTCTGAATCCTAATTAAAATACCAGTCTAATCAGACACTTTTGAGCGATGAAAACTCGTTCCCAGTTACCTGATGACCCCATGAGCTAATCTTGTATAAAATGTGGCTATACGCAAAGGCATAATACAAGTTTACAGAACTTTTCTCATCCAAATATGGTTTTATATGCAATATTGCATAGTATACTTTTTTGAGTTTTGTACATACATGATTTATCTGGGCACTAAATGAAAGTTGTGAGTCGATGAAAGTTCCTTACAATTTAACATTTTTAGTGAAAGACAATTCTTCAGGTAACAGGAAGCTTAAAGGCACCGCACTGCGCTGGTATAAAATGATAAAAAATGTATATATGGGAGAGGGGGGGGGGGCGCGATTAGGCCCAAAAATTTCGACCAGTGCAAGTTTCAACAACATTGCAATATGTATAGGTAAATGTTTCTACAGTTGGCAACAACGCTTCTCGCTTTTTCTCCGCCCATTAGCCCGTCCGCAGGCGCATTGCAATATCAACATGGGGGATTCACAGGTGTTTTCGTGGAATTTGCTATTCGGAGCTCAGACTAGCTTGTAAAACATTATGCGGTATAATAAGTGGTTTTTTTATTATTGTATTGTTTCTGAATAGTTTGGTGAGTAAGAATTAACATTATACATACAAGGCATTTTCAATTACTCATTCAATACAATTTTTTTTTCAGCGTGATGGAGGGGGAAGAAAAAGAAAATACTCCGAGGAGTATTCAAAGTTTGGATTTTAAACTGTTATTAATAATGCAATACTGAAGCCGCAATGTGTTTTATGCAATGCAGTACCAAAGAATAGTCCTCTTTGGCAGTACTCAGTGCTGAATCTATGAAACCCTCAAAGCTAAAACGTCACTTGAGAACAAAGCATCCCGAACATGTCCAAGCATTTGTATCTAAGATTGGAAACTGGCGACGTAAAGTAAATCTTGAAAACTTTGCAATGTTTGAAAACCTGAGCACCATGGTTGAAGTATCAGAGGCAGGAATTGCGGGGGATCTAAAAGAGGAAATTGATTATCACCTTATTAAAACCCTTGAAAACGAAATACAACGTTATTTTCCCGAGCTGTCTGACCAATAAGCTGCAGTAGTAAGGAACCCATTCTATGCCTCGTTAGATATTGCCGACGTTCCTGATGGATTGCAAGATGAGTTTTTGGATCTTAAAAATGATTCCACAGCACGTGTCCTATTCCTGGAAAAAACGTTGACTGAATTTTGGTGTGCCATATATTGTTTATATCCTAATGTCGCTCTGCTTTCTTTGCAGGTACTAGTACCATTTGCTTCGACCTATCTCTGTGGAAGTGGTTTTTCAACTCTTTTGCAGATTAAAACAAAGGCGAGGAATAAACGGGATATTCAAGATGACATAAGACTGGCTTTGACACGCACTCAACCAAGAATTTTGAAACTTGTTATGCAGATGCAAGCTCCGTCATCTCATTAACATTATACCAAATAAATAATATGAATGCTATCAAATTGTTTTTTTTTATATATTAAATGAGGAGATGACAATATTTTCAATGGCGAGGGTCGCGACCTTTTTAGCAAATCCAAAAGGGGTAATGACTGGAAAAAGGTTGGGAACCACTGCGCTAGCACCAAGACGTAATTTCATTATAAGTAACTTCAATGTTCTTATGTAACTCCTCTAGGGTCGCTGCTGATACAGTTATAGTAGTATCATCCGCAAACATAGTGATTTGACCTAAGCTAATATTCCTTGGTAGATCATTTGCAGAAATAATGAAAATGAGAGGGCCCAAAACTGATCCCTGGGGAACACCAAAGGGAATCTCGTGACTTTCTGATAGGTCATTTTCGATGTCAACTAATAATATTTTATTTGTTAAATAGCGATGAATCAAATCTAATATGACGACTTCTCTAATCCCAATGGTGCAAAGTTTTTCAAGAATTAATTCAAAATGTCACTTATCATAAATTACTTTTTTCTCACGGAAAAAAATTGCGTAGCGTACTTAAGCGTTTACAACTCCAAGTATTGAAGTAAGTACGCCATGCACTAATTTCTATCAACCCATAATTCATCTTTAGATAGACGTGATGCAAAAGAAGTTGACCTTAAAGTTGACTAAGGTGATATAAACGTTGCACAAAACTGACTAAAAAATTATGTTATATCCGTTTTTTCGTCTTTTACAGAGATTTTAAATGTTTCGTGACACTGTCATGTCCAAAAAATGTTACATCGACTTCTAAAAAATTTATAACACTATTGCAATCATCCTCAAATAGTGAATGTACAATTTTTTGGTCAATCCTCAATAATATTTTCAGTGTTCACATTCAATTTCTGTTGTAGTCGCCCTGATGATGGAAATATACATTTCCGAGTGCTCGGACAACCGGTGATGAGTTCACCATTACTCAGCTGATATCCCCACTAGCGAGCTATTTTTATCTCTGACGTGTCAGCAACGACTTCTCTTTCTTCTATATATATAATATCTATATAGGTACAGGATATCTCAACTCTATTCCCATATGGGCATGATCGGATGATGATATAATTATAAAACTCGTTCGCCATATTGGATCCGCCATCTTACATTTCTCAATTTTTGACAAGAGAATCATAATCTCCGACCCCAAAAACCCCAGATACAAGTTTTGAATAGAATCCGATCATAATTACAAAACTCGTCGGCCATATTGGAGCCGCCATCTCGAATTTCTACGGCGTTCTGACAAAAAAATCATAATTGCCGACCTCAAAAACCTCTATAGATACCAACTTTGCATAGAGTCGGATCATGATTACAAAAAAAGAATTATGTACACCTGGCAAATTTCAAATCAATCATCAGAGGATTAAAAATGTATCATATTTAATTTGCAAGATTAGATTATCTGATTACACAAACATTTGAATTAAATCTATTATCGATCAATTCAAGTTTATATTTGAATACTTTCAGATTCAGACACCGTTCAGTCTCGTATTTGGTATCTAATTATTATTATACTTGGCTCACATTACATGATCAAATCAATATATAACAAAATCATTTCACCGGAATGGCTTTGATTTTGAATTAATAAATGGGACACCCTATGTATTCTCACATTTTCCGATTCCTGATAGGCAAACTGATGGGTATAATATACTCATTATGCTGTTCTGTTTCGATTTTGTTTTACGCTTCCTTATTGGTAGTTTGATCAAATATGAAGCAAAATAGCTCACCAGCAGCAGATCGTGCATGAATGTCATGATATTTTCATATTCAGGAACTCAACACAAAATTGTGGTAGGCACTTGTTATACGAAATTAAAGTTAACTTCTACATAAAGAAACTTTCAAACGTTGGCACGGTTATTAGAAAAAAAAACGGCGTCTGATCATACTTATAATATCATAATTATTATTACTGCTGTCATTATTATTATTGTCATTGTTGTTATTGATATTATCATTATTATTGTTGTCATCATTATTATTGTCGTCATTGTTGTTATTATCATTTGTTACTAATGTGTTAATCCACGATAACCTCTTTTGTCTTTTTTGTTTTCACTCGATCGAAAATGCTACGAATTCTTTTTTGTTTTGTTCACAAA